TTTTTTTTTTTTTTTTTTTTCCGATAACGGCGTGGACTCGAGGAATATCGGTCGAGAATAAACCGATACCCGACGACGAACAAATTCGTACGATTCGTCGTAGGGTTCGATTTTTGGCGATAAGACAACCCTATTGCTAGGTGTAACAGCTGGTACGCATGGAAAACAATGGGCGGGGGTGGCTATTGTAACTTATAAGATAAACTCCAGACATATATAATCAATATATAAATAAATAAAAATAATAGTTTGTGTTTAGAAATAAATTAATAAGTGTTTAGCTTGGAGTATTCGTATATCTGTAAAGCAGGACCGGTTTCGAATAATTAAAAATCCAATGTCAGCTGTATACAAAGTCAACAAAATCGCGTCTGACTGACAACAATTTGTCGTTTTACATAGAGATAATTTATTTAAGGTAACTTATTAATTATTAATTCTTATCGTTTGTTAAATAAAATTTAATTATAAACAATCTCTCCTATTCAAATAAACTATCTTTATGTAAAACGACCAATTTTTCTCAGTGTATTTTTTCCTTTACTCTTTCATCATCAGTCGCGATTTTATTCACATTGTACATATATATCTGCCGATTAATATTTAATTCGAAACCAGTCGTACTCTACAAATATAATAATACTCCAGGGTAAATATTTATTTCTATAAATAAGTTATTAGTTTATTTATTTGTATATTATTTTTATTTTATTTTTTACTTAGAACTTTCTGTGAAAGCTACAGTCGCAAATGATATTAACTAAATAACAAATTTAACTCTAAACAAAGTTTAATATTACATAGTTCTGAAACATGGGTAACATAAAAATAATATTTTTAGTAATAAAAATGGTTTTTATTTGCATTTTTGGTCTGTTACATTTGTCTAAGAGATGGAATTATTGTCATAGTAATATCACATGATCTATTTTGTTGTACGCGGATAATTTATATAAATATACGCCAGTGCTTGTACCAAAAATAATAATAATACATCACCACTTATATGAGTAGCTCTATTCTATACGCATGAAAAAATGTGTTGAACAAATGAAATAGTATTGTCATAGTATGAGTAATTTATTTATTATTACAATATTTTATCTATATATATATATATATATATATATATTAAAATGGAGTCAAAAATGTTTAACATTTCATCAATTGAGAACGGCTGGGCCGATTTGGCACAAATTTTTTTTAATTGTTCATAAATGCCACGAGAAGGTTTTTACGAAAAAAAATTTTAGAAAAGTGCTATTGTTTAATAAATCGTAGTTTAATTTAATAATTTTTAACCTGGTCGATAACTGCGCAGTTGAAAATTAATTATTAAATAAAACTATTAAAAAACTATTAAAACTATTTAAAAACTATTAATTTTATTTTTGGTATTAAATGACGGGTATTGCATAAATATTAAAGAACATGATCCCGCAACAGGTGCCAAAAAAAAGTTAGTTTGAAGGATTATTTATCCATATCGGTTGATGATTAGACGCGATCAAGACAACGTTATTCTATGATGTCGTGAGCTTTGTCAACAATTTATAGTCGACATGTATGTAATAGTAGAGAGCGAACGATTTCGATACTTGCGATTCGATCAAAAAAAGCTGCGTGCAGAAGATTCTCAAAACAAATGGTTGGTTATCGGTGGTGGGTAAGTTACTACAGATGAAACGGGATGCATAAAATTAACAACCGATTTTCGCACTATCATTGATTCGCAAGATGCTCTCATTGACCAGATATTTCCTAATGTACACAGAATAAAAAACAAATTATGAGTGGTTGGTAGAAAAAGCAATTTTAGCAGCAAAAAATATGGAGACGTCAACATATTGAATCTTAAGATACAACATTTGTTACCAAGAGACTTGATGACATACAAATCTATTAATACAGTTTGCGATGTTATGGGAGCTGTAAATTATCAAACAGAGTTTTTAAACTCATTGGATTTACCAGGTAAGTCACCGCAATTTACAACTGAAGTTTGAATCTCCGGTTATTTTGTTTCGTAATTTGAATCCCTCACGGTTGTGCAACGGCACGCGATGTCATTAAAAAATTAATAATAATGTTATCGAAGCAATCATTTTAAATGGCAAATTCCGAGGTGAAAATATATTAGTACCGCGAATCCCTATTTTACCCACAGATGTGCCAATACAATTTAAACGTCTTCAAATTCCAATTAGATTGGCATTTGCAACGACTATCAATAAGTCTCAAGGCCAAAGATGTCTGTCTGTGGCTTAGATTTGAGCATATCATGTTTTTCACGCGGACAATTATACGTAGCGTGTTCTCGAACCATCCAATTTGTTTGTGTTGGCGAAAGATGGGATAGCAAAAAATATTGTATACTCTGTTACATTAACGAATTTATATTGTTTTTTACTAATATTGTCATAATTAGCGATATATATATATATATATATATATATAATTTTAAAGGACCAATTTTAACAAATTATTAAAAAAATAAATGTTCTGTGTTTTTCCATTTTTATATTCCGTCACCGTTTACAGCACTCCATACTTCCACTTTTATTAAATTAGTTATTTTTTTTTCTAGTAAAATATTCTCTAGAAATAATTTATATGACGAAACAACGTTTGTCAGGTCAGCTAGTATTAAAATATAAATTTATAATTATTATTACAAACATTGTTCTATGAAATGCATTTATAAATAGTTTTGAATATCGAAAAATATACTATTGTTTACCATAGTTACACAGTTTAATTATATTCATTTTTATTTTGTTAATAATAATATATTAGTATGATTCATGAGTTACTTGATTAGTAAAAAAATAAAAATAATTAATGATGAACTATAAGCTGGGCTTGAATGGTATTTATTCAATTTCATCTTTGTTTAAAGTTTCTTTTCTTTGACCAAAGCCTAAAATGTCCACGAAAATTCATTCAGCCAATTCGGAATTTATCTAGAGAAAAAATAATCTACTTCATTTTATGTACTGATATAAATTTAAAATTATTTTCTGTTCAGTATATATATATACAACACTGGATTTATAGATACATAACACTTAGATTTCGCAACTTTATGAGTTTCCAATAATTTAAAATGTTATAACATTTACCATCACAATACGTTTCGGTATATAATAACAATAAAATTATTTATGTCTGTCTAAATATGGAAGTACTTGTAAACTTTCTCTCTTTCTTAGAGTTAATCACACTTTTTTGACTAAATTAAATAAATATTCATTTATATTAAATCAACGCAATAAATGAAAAGTATAAATTCATCAATTAAAAAGTATTTAAGTTAAATGAACTGTATACTTGCATAGTTAAAAAGAAATTTTAATTATTTTATTTGTTTTAGTACGATATGTATTTATTTACAAACGAAAAATAATAATTATTCGCAAATTATTTACGTCCGAGAAACATATTATGGTACATCATGATAATTGTGTATATTGGTCTCTACTATATACATACATATAAATAACCATAATATTTCATAAATACCCAAACACGAATTTATCGTATAAGTTCTTTTTTTTTTTTTGTCAGAATCAATTGTTGTTTTACATCTAACAAAATAGGACGAATATTTATTTTTATTAATCCGACGTGATAAATTAAACGAGCAGAAAAAAAAAATTATTGGAAAAGACCTTAAATATATAAAATATAGATTTTCATAGTTTAAAAGAAACATATTAATTTTAATATGCAAATAAATCAACGACCGAAAAATAATTGACTTTACGTTTGAGAAACAAACTAAATCTTGAGCATCGTGTAGGCCACTATGCTTGTTTCAACTATTTACCTAAAAATAAATATCGAAACTTTCAAGTATTAAAGTTTAATGTGGTTCTCACGGAAATTTTGTAGTGAAACTTGTTTATCTCTTTGGATCACGTACACGATACACCATATAAGTGTATGCACGCAGTGATGGTGCGGTACCACTAAAATAATACGAATATTTAATAATACCTAAGGATAATTTGCAAAAAAAAAAAAAAAACGGTCATCGGAGATTTTGTCCGTTACAAACATGTAATTTTTTCATCGATAAATGTATTAATGTTACGTTTTAATAAAACTAAAACCAAAAGTCATTGCGCGTACGATCATCAAGAATAATATTATACAACTGAGTGTTTGTTTACTTTTCGTAGTTCCCCGAGCACATTTTGTTTCCCTGGTTTCGTTCTCAGTTCCCAAGTCATTTGCACATATGATAATATACGATGTAAATGTATGTAGGCGTCAGGTAGTCAAATAATATTCCCTTTAAATTAAACGAAACTATTCAAAATGTTTAGCTTCGTCTACGACCAGCGGCGGCGTAAACAAATATTTCCCGGAGCAGCTTTTCGTGCAAAACGTCGGATGGGATACCTGCCCCATTATTGGACGGTCTCGTTAATAATAAATATAATAACATCCTATGAATAACTAATACACATTTCACTGATAACACTAACCTTAAGTAACATTATCTAGACCATTTAGAACGGTCAGTGTGCAACACCGGTTGATCATAATTTTAAATAAATTCTAAGTAGGTACTACAGTATCCAAATAGGGTTGA